GTGTGTGTGTGTGTGTGTGTGTGTGTGTGTGTGTGTGTGTGTGTACATTAGGTATAGAGGTATACTTGAAATAGAAGAAATTTTTTAGCTTTATTTAGCAAAATTAGTCTTCAAAATTAAATCAAGCAAAGGCTTGAAAACAAACATTTTTTTAATATATACATATATATACAATAAATGTTAATTTCGTTTAAAATTAACATTTATTATATTAGACGATATATATATCCTTACTCTAATTTTGTTTAAAATTAACATTTATTATTCATGTGTATGAAATAAATGTAGAGAAACGTGATTTTATTTGATATATACTAAATGTATAAGTTGCCCCATTAATGCGAGCACCTGTTATATATGATATTGAGTCTTCCAACATTCCTAACTTATCCAAAGTTGAAATTCAATTAGATTTTTTGTGGGCAGTCGATCTAAACCGTTTTGGTTTGGAAGTAATCGGTCTATGGCCTAAGAGCGATGAAATCGCTAAAGATTATTTCGCTTCCGATCTTCGCGTGGCCATCATTTTTGTTATAGTGACAATCGTTTCTGGCATTCCTCTCGTATGTGCGTTAGTACGAGTTCGGGAAGATATGTTACTTGTAATAGACAACTTGCAAATTACATTACCTATAATGGTGGTCACACTAAAACTCGTTATTATGCGGTGCAAACGAAAAGGTATTTTCTATAACTTGATAAAAAACACTATATTCTTCCTTTGTATTTATGTAATATCATATTTTACTTATCGCATTTGATCTCTCATTACAATTAGATTTAAAATTGACACTTAAAATTACACGGAAAAGAAATTTTATGGTAAACACTACTATAGAATGTTATGTTGAGAAACTAATATTGTTATTAAGGAACTAATTAGCATTCTGTTTTAATTTATTGTTCTTTCGTTTCTTACGTGCTATTTATAATAATTATAATTAAGAAATTCTAAAACTTACTATTAAAATATTTTTTATGTTCTCTAGAAAAATTTTCTATAACAAATATTAAGGATCTCAGATATTTAATCGCTAAAAAATGATTTTTAGTCAATAAGAGCTTCACAGAATGTTCGCTACAAATAATAATTTCTTGCGGGAAGATAATGATGTCGATCAAATATTGCATGCATTGAAATGTTTTCTCAATTTTAAATGTACCAGATGTATTTGCATAGTTTTAATATTATTCTATTATTTTCAAGCCGTCATAATTATTATGAAGATGATGGCGGAAGACTGGATGGAATTAAAGGTGGATGCGGAAAAGAACGTTATGATAAAAGTAGCACGGGCTGCTCGAATGATTATAATTTGTGGATACATTTTAATGGTATCGGCCTTCACAGCTATTATTGTTCTTCCTTGTTTCGGTCTACCATTCAGACGTTTAACGAATCTCACGGATCAGAAAAAACCGCTACCGCTTCAAACGTATTATTTCTACAATACAGATGAAAGCCCGCAATTTGAACTGACACTTGTCGCACAAGCTGTTACAATTCTTTTATCCGCTGTAATTTATACGTCAGTAGATGGTTTCCTTGGACTCACAATCCTGCATATTTGCGGCCAGTTGGAGAACTTCAAACGACGACTTGCTAATTTAATCTCGTACAAAGATTATGATAACACTTTACGGATCAACGTGGAGGCCCATTTGAAAATTATTAGGTTTGAGCAAATTTTATTTAAAATATAATTGTACTGCAAAAAAAAATTCTGCAATTATAATATAATTGTACTGCAGAAAAAATTCTGCGAGGAAACAACCCGATAAAGATTGAACTATTTAATATTTAGAATTAAATATGTCAATCTTTACCGGTAAATCTATATATATATATTAGGTGGTAAACTTAGTTCCTGCGGCTCACAGTTAG